GTGTGTGTGTGTGTGTGTGTGTGGGTTGTCTGTGTGTGTGTGTGTAATGAAATTTTAATTAATTAGAATTATTTTTANGCAAAACAATTAATATAGCAAAAACTTTTTTAATTCAAACTAAAAGATAATTAAAATTTTTACATTTTGTTAAATTCAATAAATTCTTTTTTTGGAATTTTTTTTTTTTTAAAGACCTTTATCTGTATTTGGTCCAAGCAATGGGATTGAAAATGAGGAAAGCTATGGAATTTATGATGAATTAGAATTTGCCACTTTGGCGCAAAATGGTCCAGGCTATGAACATCCAAGAATTGTAGCAAAACAAAAGACATCAACAGCAGTAACAACTAAAGCTGTTATTTTTTTTTTCGCTTTTTTTTTTAACAAAAAAAAAATCAATAAATGAATAAAATCAGAAAAAATATTCATTACTGTAAAATTTATTTCATTTTTAATTTTTAATTTGTTTTTAATTTATTTCATTTTTTTTCATTTTTATGAATTTTTTTAATATTTAAAAAAAACTTTCATTAAATATTAGTTTTATTTTAGGAATTGGTAACAACAATTTTCGAAACAACTGATGAATATAACGTTGAAAATAAAGAAATTCAAAAACTGACTGACAAAAGTAATATTTATAAATCAAATGAAAAAAAAAATTGAAAAAAGGAAATTGAAAGTAAAAATATTTTTTAAAAATATTTTAGAAATTAAAAACAAAAATACTTTTCAATTTTTACCAACAATATTTAAAAATTTACAAATGAAAATTTCTTTATAGCAAATTTTAGCAATGCAACAATTCAAATGTATTATCGAATTAATCGAATTATGCTAACATTTAATTGGATAAAAATTGATTTAAATTAAAATTTAATGAGAATAAATTTTAATTTAATCGTGAAAAAGAATTTCAAACAATTTTTTATTAACTATTACTATCTATTTAAGAAGGATATAAAGAAGCAGAATATGAGGATATAACAATTGGATCAAATTTGAATGATTTATTGGCTAATTTACCGGATGAAGTTAATGCTGATTCGTTGCAAAAAATGTTTCATGATTCGGTTGAAAATCGTCGAACGCTTATGCGAAGTTTTGATTATTTAATGGATCAGGTTAATTAATAACGTGATATTTGTTGCAAAAAATTTAATTTTAATAAATGGATGTCAAAAAAAAAAACAGATGAACTAAACAAATTTTGAAATTTTCTAATCAAATTAAAAGAACAAAGAAAGATGCAAATTTTCAGTTTTTTTTTTCCTGATTTTTGAATAAATTTTCAAATTAAAATAAAATTTGTATAAATTGAAAGCGAACAAGAAAAGGCGCAAATTTTTAAGTGTAATTTAAAAGAAAAAAAAAAAGTGTATTCAAAATTTTCAATTCATCTGTTATGGAATGAAAAAAAAAAAGAAGTATTACACTATTATGTGATATTTTAAAAAAAGTTTAAGTTAAACATTTCGGTAGGTTCACGTCATATTACGTTAATTTCAATTGATAGATGAAAGAAAATAAAATGATTGAGACGACAACAATGAAATCAACAATTATGCAAGGAAAATATAGACGAGGTGATAAAATTAAAACAATTAAGGTATTGTCTCATTTTTTATTTCATTTATTTATTCATTTTTTGTTACCAAGTAAAAATAGTAAATGAACGAATTTTCAATTGACAAAACAGTTTGTTTGCACTTTTTTTTTTCAATAAAATTTTAAGACAGTAAAATTTTGTCGTTTTTAAAAGTTTTGAATTAAAAAAAAGAAAAATAGAAAACAATTTCCAAGAAAAAAATTTTTTTTTTTGAATATTCATAGGTATCTTGGGATTCAGCTCGGTTAGCTGATAAACCATTAGTGGAAAGTTCCAGTATTGGTCTTGAAAATAAAAATCATTTGATGATCCAAAATATTGATACAATATCATCATCAATCAATAATGATCAAGGTCCAACATCAATGATTGCTGGCCAATTGATTATCTATGATTTGGATGAAGAGCCACCAAATATTAGCCAATTAAACAAGGAAAAAGGTAATGCTTTGGCTCAATTTAATTAAATTAAGGCTAATTTCTTCACAATAAAAATCATTGATATTACAACAGAAGTTTGCTTCTCGATAATCATATAAACTAGTCAATCATATCAATATTGTTAAATCACTTAATTTAATTTACTGGGAGAAATAGATTGTCACAAATTTGTCAAATGAGCACTGGAAATAATCATAATGAGAATATAATTAATAATGATAATTACTATGATGCCATGAATACTTGCTAATGATGACTATTGTTGAAAGTTGCTAATGATAACTATTAATGACAATCGTTGATGTTGTTGTTAATGAGGTTTTTTCTTTCTTTTCTTTTCTTTTTTTTAATGCAAGATAAAATAAATTTCTGTGATAACTCCAAAATGAATTGTGATAATAATTGGTGATAATTATCAAATGTCCTATGTTAGCAATAGCTAATACAATAAGCAATTGATATTTGTTTCAGTGCTTACAATAAATAGTTGTGTAATTACCAGGAAAGGATTATTTGTTATAGCTTCAAGTTTGGGTGCTATTTCTACTGCATTATTTATTGTTACCTTTTTTATGTATCATCGTTTATCCAAATATACAAAGGTAATAGATTTTTTTTTTTTTGCAATTACATTTTAATTTCAATTTTAATTTTGATTTTAATTTTTAATTTATACTTGTTATTGCAATGATGAAAGTAATGCAACTTTGACAGTCTTTTTTTTTTTTCAGTTTCCTTAAAGGAAGTCGAAAAAAAACTCATCTATTAGGGTATGATTTAGAGGAAATAAAAACTATTCGGAATTTAAGAAATTAGTAAAGAAAAATGGGATGCTCTCTTACATTAATTAATTAATGAAGCAAAATGAGATATTCTTTTACATTAATTGATTGGTGAAACAAAGTGAGATATTCTCTTACACTAATTAATTGGTGGAACAATATGGGATATTCCTTTACATTAATTAATTGATGAAGCAAAATGAGATATTCTTTTACATTAATTGATTGGTGAAACAAAGTGAGATATTCTCTTACACTAATTAATTGGTGGAACAAAATAAGACATTCTCTTACATTAATTAATTGATGAAACAAAATGAAATATTCTTTTATAGCGAAGTTATTGTAAGCTTGTTTCATGAAATATATTTTAAAACATCCGACGTATATTTTTTTAAATAAAACTCAAACTAACCTATTCAGTTTTGTAATTACAATAAAGCATTTTAGATTAAATAATTACGTAATTTCAATTAATCTTGTTATGAAATAGCATCATAAAATGCAACAAATATAACTAATTAATAAGTTTTACTTTTTGAATGCACCTAAAGGCTATTGATCTACCTGATTGTCTATAATATAGTTCTAATCTTATTAAAATACACAATTAATTCATTTCCATTTTCAGGATCATCATTAATCGTACACAACAGCATTGGCAAACTGAAAATGATCGTACAAAACAATCTTGGAATCGATTAATATTATTAAATATTACACATTTCAGTTAATGAACAAACATCCATCTTAATAAATAATTATAATTAAGCCTATAATTATCTGATAACACTTATCAGATCTTCGATTTAAAATATCAAATTTTTATTTCAGTGATTTTACAAGTCAAAAAAAAAACAAGGAATTTCAATTAAATTTACATGCCTAAAAACTTTTCAAATTGTAAAAAAACCCTTCTAGCTTTTCCTAAATTTGATAAATTATTATTTCAAAACCTAAAGAAAAATTGCAAAGACTTAAACAAGAAAATTAAAAAAAATTACTTTTTGATAAAAAGATAATAAACAGTTTCATTGATAAATGTGGAAAAGTGATTTGAAGATAAGCAATGATAAATCACTAACATCACTGATATCACCGATAAGCAATGATAAATATTCCATCTGTTTGCTTCCTTTAACATTCAATTTTGTGGCACTGTTAGCATGACTGTCTAAAATCAATGCAAATCCTTATTATTAGCGCTAAAATAATTAAGAAGTGTTTGAGAGCTTTGGGAGAATGGAAAATTACATTAATTGTAATTTAATTAATTAATGCATCCATAAAAATTCTTTTCTGAACTTCTGCACAAACTTAAATACTTACATATTTTACCAATCAATTCTGTTTGCATATTTATAAGACAATTTCGAAACATGGGAAAATTGCAACGAAGAAACTGGAAGGATGCAGTTGTCACAGAAGTAGTAAATTTCTTATGTGATCATGCAATTGTCACAGAAGTAGCAAATTTCTTATATGATCATGCAATTGTCACAGAAGTAGTAAATTTCTTATGTGATCATGCAATTGTCACAGAAGTAGCAAATTTCTTATATGGTCATACAATTGTCACAGAAGTAGTAAATTTCTGATGTGATCATACAATTGTCACAGAAGTAGCAAATTTCTTATACAATTGTCGCAGAAGTAGCAAATTTCTTATGTGATCAATGAATCAAATTGTTTTGTTTTTCTTAATATACTTCATGATTTACCAATCGTCAATACGGTCTATATATATTTGATAAAATTAATTTACTATATGTATTTTAACAAGCAACTATTGTTATTTTTTCTATTACTCATATTTAGTGCATGCATTTCTGCGTGCATTCACTCACTACAGTTTCTTTTTTTTAACTTGCAAAAAGTGCATGCACCTTATATATGTTTTTCCTCGGCTACATTATTTTTTTTATTTTTCGTATTATTTACCGGAATTGAAGCATTGAAAACGTAATCTTAAGCATATGCATGCACAAACATTAAACCGGAACGTTTAATATTAATGCAGCGGATAGATTTGTTAAATTTCTAAGTCTAATTTCTAAGATAAAATTTATGCAAAAAGCCGCGTAATGTAAATTATTGTAAATTTGATCAGATATGCATTCTATGATGGATTTAATTAGCACCACCAGAAGAGTTTAAAGGTTAATGAAAGCGGCAAGATAACCAAAGATTGAATGAAACAGCAATTTACCATCATTAGATTACGTTCCTCACCAATGGCAGGTGGAAGTTTTTAGTAAACTGTAGAGAATATTTAAGAAATATCGCTTTTACGTATTTCCTTCCTATTTATACATCGTAATACCAACAGCTTTCGTAATTTTAATTATTAATTGTTTCAAAGTCACACTGATGTCACATTGCTTTAATAATAATACAAGGAATATTTAGTAAGAACTTCTAGAAAAATTACAGTACTTATTTCTAAATATTGATTTTTT